CGATCATTTGAAAAATTATATATTCTAAAATATAATTTGTTTTAATTTCTATAATATATATATATATATATATATATATATATATAAATGAAAATAAGTTATATTGTGGAATATATATTTTATATTATAGTAATTAATATAAATTATATTAAAATAAATATATATATATATATATATATATATAATTTTACATCAAAATATATTCAAATAATCGAGACTTTAGATAGCGGTTAAGGTGGAACCGCTATGATATGTTCACTTTTAAGAGCGGTTAATCACTAGTACAGAAAACACCTTTAACATCGGTTCTTAGCAGCTTTCTACATCGGTTCTAGAACCGATGTAGATACAACCGATGTAGAAAGTTGGTGAGTTTTAACATCGGTTAAGAACCGATGTAGAAAGTCTGACTTTCCACATCGGTTCTAGGCCATAACCGATGTAGAAAGTCGACTTTCCACATCGGTTATAGCCTATAACCGATGTGGAAAATCGGACTTTCTACATCGGTTATGGCCTAGAACCGATGTGGAAAGTATTAAAAATCACTTTCTACATCGGTTATGGCCATAACCGATGTGGAAAGTCATATTTTTTTTTAAATACGAATTTTAGTTTTTGATTTTTCGAACCTCGTATAGCATTTTAAATATTTACGACTACTCGAATGTTAATCTATATATAGAGGACATGCATTAACACACAAGTAAACATAATGTATATTATATATCTACATTGTATTGTATCAACAAAAACAATAAACATGTATTGTATTCTAAGTTTATACACTACAAGAAATATTAAAATTACCGACGGTCAAAATCCGTCTGTAATAACAAAAATCTGTTCGGTAAATGAATATTACCGACGGAATTCGACTGCCAAAAATCCGTCGTAAATTTGATTGTTCAGTAAATATTACCGACTGATTTATCCGTCTGTAAATGTGTTACAAATTTACCGACGGATCCGGATCCGTCGGTAATAATTTTATTAATTATTAAATTTTTTACTTATTTATAACATATTTTTTTGTAGAACCCCTCCCCTTATATTCTTATTATTTATTATTAATTATTTCACCATATTATAATTTTATAGCTTTGAATTATTGTCGATTAAGAGAAATGTCATTGGCGGGATTCAAACTCAGTACCTTAGAGTCGAGGCTAATGCTCCAACCACTAAGCTACTAGAATTTCTTGATAACAATTTACAAATAAATTATATTTATATACAAATATACAAATACATTTATATATATTTATATATATTTATATACATTTATATATATTTATATATATTTATATATTTTTTTATATATTTATATATATTTATATATATTTTTATATATTTATATATGTTTTTATATATTTATATGTATATTTTTATATATTTATATATATTTTTATATATTTATATATATTTATATATTTATATATTTATATATTTATATATTTATATATTTATATATTTATATATTTATATATTTATATATTTATATATTTATATATTTTTATATTTTTATATTTTTATATTTTATATTTATATATTTTTATATATTTTTATATTTTATATTTATATATTTATATATTTTTATATTTTTATATATTTTATATTTTTATATATTTATATATATATATATATATTTATATATATTTATATATAATTAAATATTTATTTTTAAAATTACTTAATTTAATAAATTATTATAAATTAATCTAATTATGATTAAATTAAATTATTAAATAAAAAATATTTTATTTTTTAATTAGTGAATAATTAAATTATATTATATAATTTTACCGACTGATTTATCCATCTGTAAATAATTTTTAATTTACATTTGAATTTACTCGATCGGATATATCCGTCGGTAATTAATTATTAATTTATTGATGGATTTACCGACGGATTTATCGACGGATATATCCGTCATAACTAATTATTATTTTACCGACGGATATATCCGTCTGTAACATCAAATTTCACAAATATTTTATATCCGGTATTTCGTCGTAATGATTATTTTCCGATGCTACAATTCGTCGCAAATATCCGTTTAATACGCGATTTTCTTG